GATCCCTCAAGACTAGTTTCATACAACAAGTGGACCAAAAAGGTCCCCAGACAACCAAGAGTTCTTTGGGGGTAGTGGAACTCATACCTAGCACCCACAAGCCAGGAAGAAACAAGGCACAGCCAAGAAGAGCCTATGCTTACAGTAGAGACACGTTCACACCCAGCAGAAGTGAGCTCACAATAGTACAATAAATTAGCACGTACTGAAAGCCTGCAGAGTTGTTGACAGGGACAGATTAGAGCAATGGGGCCACCTATCCCCACAGAGGCAGGAAAGGTACCCTTCAAGGCTGCCAGGGGGAATATGTAGATTAATCAGCCCAAACAGTTCTATGAGCAGTTCCTCTTGCAGGGCTGAGACAAAGAAGTCAGTTAAACACCAGTTGATGGCAAAGTGCACATGAGGGCAAAGAACAGGCATTGAACTGATCAAGTACTTACCTAAACTGCACTCCAGGCAGCAGCAGGCCAACTCCAAACTAAATCCCATGAAGAAGAAAATCACTTTTTCCACCTCACTCTGTGGAGGTGCCAGCCAAATCCCAGGAGGGTGAAGGACCCAACTTCTACCAGGCAAAGCTGACAGTTTTCACTGTCACTTCCTCTAGTCATGCCATCCTAGAACTGCACTGAGGAACTCATCTTATCAATGAAGATTAAATGGCCTCTGTGACAATAACTGATCACTGATAAACAGGTTTAATCAACCCAAGTATGTGATATCTTCCAATCTTTGTCCAAAATGAGCTGTCATACAGCAAAGCACTGTGGCCCAGCAAACTCGTGTTTTGAAACATGTAGGTCCACTGCAAATAAAGTGCTCCCTGCTACACAAATTCCAGTCGCCCTTGTTTGGAAACACTCCCCCCACTCCTCCCCCTACAAGTCAGTGACCTTGTTTAAACATGGTACATTTTCCAAATACTAACTTAGACCATGTATTTTTCTGCTCAGCTGGTTTAGAAATCCCACTGCTAGCAGTGGAAGTTTTACTTTTAAATGAATAGAAATAGGGCCTGAAAGTCACATACAAGACTAGAAGACTAAAGCCTAAAGTGAAGACACCTAAACAATAAAACCTTTACAGTGCAAAACATTCCTAGGGGATTTTACAGAGTCTCAAATACAGGGAAGGTAAAAAGCTGCTGAAGCCTTGGAAGAAAGAGATCAATTGAAATGAAACCAAGCACAAAACAAATACAGCACTTAGAAAAAGCACAATCCTAAAAGCCTAAAAACCCTGGACAGGTGAGAACAATGGTTATTCAGAACTAAAATGTGACAGGAGTGCTAAAAACCTTCCAAAGGACCTTATGATATTTTATTTTTGTGCTGCATTTTCTAGGTTTATCCTCTAGCATTTTTATTTCAGTGACATGCTACAAAATAAGTGTTGGGTGTAATGATGGCTCACTCAGTATTTGCTAAATTCAAGGATGCTTCTCAACTATCTGTATTTGAGAAGTTTCAACTGTAAGGCTTTTTGAGAAGTTGAACAAAGTTGACATTGCACGTGACTATTTTGTTTTGTTTTTAAATTACACTTGCTGGCTTGCAATCTATTAGGAAATACTTTCTTTTCACTAAGGGGGGAAAAAAAGGAATTTTATTTTTACTGCAACAGGGACTGAGAGAAAGAAGAGGTTGCATGACCCGTGCATGCTGCACTGGGCTGTCCCCCAGCTACACACAGGATCACAGCACTCGGTGCAGAATGATTCCCTGAAAGACAACAGCTCTCCACCTGCTGCTTCATTTGACAGGGCTGCAAGCTCAGGAAATAGCACATTTACCAACCCTGGCTTCTCTGCACCTAGTGATGAGCTCAGCCAGCCAAGTCATTCAAGCCCTAATAGCAGTATTTATCGTTTTGGCAAGTGAGGAGACATGGAGAAGCAGGGAGGAAAAGACAGAAGGCACCCTAGAAGAGGAGCAAGGAAAGCCACACAGACAAATGAAAGCGTGCAGAGCACATTTTCCTGAAGGCAGAAATTCCCACATCCATTAGGACTTGCTGTCTAAGTAACAGAGCTCCTGGCAGACATAATTGACTTCTCTGGAAAAAATGTCTGTTTAATAAAGGACAGGGGGAAAGAAAACAAAAGGTGAAACAGAAGAGAGCCATCAAAAGAACAGGAGCTATGCAAAAACAGGAGGCAAGGGCAAAGGCCATCTGTCTTTCCCATCTATAGAAAGGTGACAAAGAAATAACGATAGTGAAGGGCACCTGGGGATATTTGCTCCTTACAGACCTCCAGGAGAACTTCTCCGGGAGAAATGCCTACCTTTCCCTAGAAGCTTTTCTCTAGGCCAAAATTAAAAGGGTTTATAAACTCCCTGCCTCTCCACTGCTAATCAGTGGTCTGTTCATTCATTATTTTCAAATTACAAGTAATGCCCTGCCCTCTGCAGTCAAACAAAGTTAGAAATGTGGAGAAAAGCTTTTGTGTCTGCTGATCAAGCAAAAGACAACTTTTTTCCAACTGCCCTTCTGACTCCAGGGTATCAACACTTTGTCCTCCCTGCCCCATGACTACATCTGACACCACTGCCCTGGCTTATATCACAAGTTGAAAAGTGCTAGCCAGACTCCAAGATAAACCTGTCAATGTCGAGGCACAGACATCCACATTCCTCCCTACCTGCTTGTGAATATCAGCTGTTTGTCTGGGACCAATTCCTTAAAAAGCTTTTACTGAGGGAGAAAAGGAAAGGGGGATGCCAAGAGCATTTCAAACAGGAAAAAAAAAAAAAAAAAAAAGAAAAAAAAAAAAAGAAAAAAAACCAACCAAACCAAAACCACAGAGGGGAACCCCACAAAGACTGCAAAGAGAAAATAAATTTTAAAAGCCTGTCCCCATCAGGTCCTCCCAGCAACCTTCTTTATCAGAGGTTCATTGTCAATCAATTAGCCAAGGCAGCAGGGGTCTGTAGGAAGGGGGGTAGCTCGAGAGACAATGGTCTGCCCTGTTGTATTACTATTTAATCGCTTTTCCTAAATAAATAAAGCAGCCCTGAGGTGCTGTCATGTCAAGGGAATTTATAACAAAAAAACCCTTCATTTTTCATTGGTCATTACTTTTCCTTCCCTCCCACCCCCGCAGGACTAGAGAGGGTTATTACTGTAGCCGTAAGTTCCATCTTTGTGTTGCTTGCCTTTGATTCCCACTCGGACCTTGCCACTTTCTGGCACTAATTTGTCAGGCTGAACAAAGGAGGGATTTGTACCTCCTGTAAGGTCTCAATTAGGAAAGGCTTCTGCTGTATTATGTGCCATTGGGACAGGACACAAAGACGGTAATTACAGGAATTTGCACTAAATGGCTGAAGAATTCACAGCAAAACTTTTCTTCCTCCCCCCTCCTCATCTTTCCCCAAGCTTTACCCCTCCCAGCAGCCCAGGGGAAAACCGCTCTCAATGCCGGCAAGCCGTAATTACCAACAGCAGGCCCCTCAGGTTAAACAGCAGCCCATGCTGAACGGCACAACTGCCTGCAGGGAGCAGGAACAGCGAGACACGCTCAGCTTGCCCTGTGCCTCCTCTGCACAAACTTTTCTGAGCTAAACAAGCTTCCCCAGTTTCTCCCAGTTATAACTAAAATGATTTTTTTCTCTGCACCATGGTAACAGCTCCAAGCTCCAGACGGCCCTAAGGGTCTCAGGAATGGCAAAGGAGTCACTCCTGCAGAAAGTGCAGTGAATCCCCATCCTCGGGAACACAGAATCCCAGTGACCGGCTTCCCACAGACCCACAACAACTCAAGAAGAGCTTCTCTGCACAAGAACATTTGTTCAGTTTGGTAGACTAAAAGGAGACCACAAGAGTATTGGGAACACCTCAGGTGCATCAGGAAAAGACACCATGCAACCCTGGTCTGAGCACCTCATTTTTGTGGGGAATACACGAATGAGTGGATATTAATCGCCCCATGTTTGGGAGAGGGAATCCACCCTTTCCCAGAGAAACATCTGCTCCCATACTACATAAAGCAAGACTAAAACCTATTTCACACTGGAGACACGCATTTTGTTGCCATCCCAGCACCTGATCCTATTTTAGAGCAGGTAATTGAAAATATTCACTTGTAACTCTCCTGAACCTCAGTCAGAAGATTAAGCAACCAAATCATTAACTGCAATGATGCCAACCTCCATGATGCTCCAGCTGCCAGGTGGATGCCATGCACTGTGGAGGAATGAGCAGAACATGACCTGCAGGTGGCTACCAGAGAAGGACAAACCCACCTGCACCCACAGACAATTTTGAGGGCAGTCCAATACTTCTAGGGCCCAGGTCTCCCCTGAAAGGGATTCAGGGCAGCCAGCAGGTCCTGGGCCCAAACAGATACTCCCTAGAGTCATCGTGTTCCAAAGCAACATAAGAGCCACACTCCAAAGAAGCATGGAGAGGAGGCAGGGCCATCACAGCTCCCATAATACAAGAGAAAAAGTCTCCAAAAGAGCTGCTTCTGCTTGAGCTGACAATTTCTAAGTGAGTGTAACAAAAGCAAGTCAGAGACCATAGTTTAGGCATAAGGTGCCCAAATTTGCTCCAAACAGGTGCCCTTACTAAAGTAAAATAACAATGTACTGCATTCAGACACGTTCTCTCTACTTTCATTTCCTTCCCAAACTGGATAAAACCATGATCTTCCCTATAGGACTAGAGTCAGACAACAAATTCAGACCCCTTTGATTCTGCACCACCTTTACAGTGTCCTGAATCAAGAAAACAGCTCAGCCACCCTGCAAGGCAGCCCTGGCCCATATAATGGTGTATGTGCAAGATCTAATGTTTCAACACTGATGATCAAAAGCAGATGAACCTCTGAATATCCCATAGGCTTTCCTCCACAGCTGACAGAGAGAAAGGCTAACTACAGCCACAGTGAGAGGCGGGGAACAGCTGTGCTGCTAAAACACACACATGCTCTTTCCAGTGATTTTCTTTTCCTGTAGAGGGGATGTAGGTGTAGATGCTGCAACCTGGCTGCTCACCTGCACACTTGAAGCTCTGAACTGTGAGCCCTCTCTCCAGAGACAGTGTGGTCAGGATGCTCAGGAAGCTGGTGGTCACAGACTGCCTCTTGCTCTTTCTGAGGTCATTCCCGAAGGGCCGATCTCCAGGCTTGTTCCTGAGCGTGACCTGTGGGTTCTGAGTCAAACTTCGGGTAGCACTGGCTGCTGCTTTCAGCGCCTCCATCCACTCCTGGGCCCGCTGCCGCGTCTCTGCGCGCAGGCGCAGCACATCCTGGGGAAAAATGACCTGAAAGCAAGAGTCACAGCCATCCTGAGTATCTGTCTGCACTGACAGGCAAACATCCACATTGTAGCTCAGCAGGGGATCTTCATCAAGCCTACCAGGCTGGAATGCCATGAGATAAGACCTGTTCAAGACAAAAGTAAATGCCTTCCAGTTATTCTGGACAGTTAGTCTATAAAGAGTCCCTGATTTCAGAATATTTTGGTACTCTTTAGTGTTTTCAGTCAAATTCATGGATAGGAAGAGTTCCATAGGCTTCTCTAACACTCCATTAGTTTGAGAAAGGTCACTGTTATTTTCAGGCTTTGGCACATTCTCCAGTTTCTCCTGCTGTCTTGTAAAAGCAGGCCCAGAAGCATGCACCGCTTCCCAAAGTTTCTGTCCCCAGTCCAAAGTCTCCCAGGAGGACTCTGCCTTCAGCTGTAGCTGTGAGCTGTCTGACAGGACAGTGTCCACCACCTTGGTTTCCATGCCACCAGTAACAGCCACTCTTTGAAAACGCATGAGTGGATACACGGTGGGAAGAGTCTGGTTGCCGCTGCTGTCCAAGCAATACAGGTACAGTTTGTACTGAGAGAGTTCAGCGTAACAGGTTTGCCAGTAGCTGTCATTGTCTCTTCTGACTTCCAAGTATCCCTTCTTCAGAAGATTTGAGAACACTGTCTTGTGTTCTGGAGGAAAAAAAATTAGAATATTACAGTTATTTTTTTAAATTGTCTCAAAGTACTACATCATTCTGGCTTCTACATCTCTCCTACCCATACATGGCATATCTGAAGATAGGATCACAGAGAGAATCTTCATGTAATAGGTTATAATTATTAAACACAAGCACTAACTCTACTTTTGAGCCACCAAGAATACAGCACTTACAAAAAGGAACAAAGAAACAGAGCAACAGAAAAACAGAGCAATTTTCCTGAGAAAGCAATTATCCAGGACGACAATGGCAGAGTAACAAAACACTGCAGGTCTCCCAGAACTTAGTCTAGAAGTGGACAATACTATCAAGTAATCTATTGCCAGCTAAAATAAGATTTTGACAGTGAAAAACACATTCAAATTAAAAACTCCTTACCCTCTCTTTCCTGCTCCTTCATGTTTTCACACACACCACCTCTGCCTCCCTCATCTTAAGCAGCTCAGAGGCAAAAGGCATAGTGGCATCTGGTCAGCTCCTCTCTGCTGCTCCTTCCTTCTCACACCTTGCCCCTGCTCCAGCATGGTCCTCTCCAGGGGCTTCAGTCCTTCAGGTTAAATGTACCCCTGCATGAGCTCTCTGTGGCTACAGTTCCTTCAGGAAATCTCCACATTCTCCAGCATGGGGTCCTACATTGGCCTGCAGGGAGATCCTGCTCCACCACGTTCTCCCCAGGGGCTGGAGCACATTCTCATCCTCTGACCCTCAGCTGCTCTTGACACAGCTGCCAGTGCTGTCCCTTCCTGGGATGTGTTCAGCCAAAGAGGCCCCACCTGTGGGCTCAGCTGTGTCCTGAGGAGGGGCTGCTGGAACAGCCCTGCTGCCAGCCCTACTTACAGCACCTGGCACCTGCACTGACACAGTGAATGCAGACCTGTGCCCAACACAGCAGTTTCCTACCACAGTCCAGCATGACCTGGGACCAGAACATTTTGTGCAGCTCTGTTTACTCCAGAGTTTTGCTGATTTATGAGAATCAGGTTCAGGAGTAGCAGATATGACCAAAAATGAAAAGTAAGAGGCTGCCCAGAAGGATTCAAACACACACATCTGAGCATCTCAGCACTTCAGGTGCTTTGGAGCAGATCACAAACCCCAGCCCAAGGCAAAGTGAAGGGGAATCTTCTTCATCCACAGAACACCAGCCATGCACAAATCACTCCAAGCACTAAAGTGATGCAAATTTAAAATCAATTATCTAAAGCATTTCTGAGTTTTAAAAAAAAGGTTTCCATACAAAATTTGTTCCAATCTGATTTGCACCACTTCAGCCACCACAGGCAAGATTCATATTTTCACCTTGGGCCAGGCATGTGGCTCTAGGCAATTTTTGTTGGTCCCCTTATAAATTCAGAGGCATTCACTGCTACACTGTAATACCAACTGTAACACTTGGCACCCCAAAACAACGCAGGCCTGAGGAATAAACTCCCATTTGAGTTCTACTTCACCCTTCCATTAAGGGTACCTGTGCTGAGTCTTGACTGACTAACAGTGACAGAATTAGCAGACACAAGTTAAGGTTTCTGCCTCTAATTGTGCTATTCCTGGCACAGGAGCAAGGTAGCCACCTGGAAACAGCTCCTCATCCACTGCCCAGCAAATTAGGTCACAACAAAATCAGCATCAATTGACTTTAACACAGCATTACAGACCACAGCAATACAAGAGCTGGTCTACTCAACATTTCCATCCTGGGGTTGACAGCCTTTACAGTCTTTGAAACAGGGATAGCTGGAGGCATAAAACATTTTCAGCATCTCAGCTTAACCAGTTACATTTATGTTAACAGGCCACACTCTTAACAAGCTTTAGACATCATCTCTGAGTATACTGAGGATGCCTGCAACACAGAGCTAAGAGAACAGAAACATCTGGACTGGAGGAAGCTTAGAAACAAAACCAGGCCTGTATAGAAACTACATCCCCATCTGTACTAGGCATCCCAGCTAATATGGACAAGATTGCTGGCCAGACTGCTCGATAAGGGGTGAGTCTGTCTGTCTGTCCTCCTAGAGCACAAGGAGAGTCAGGGACTCATGAGTATTTGAGGAACTTACTGCCCAGGGGTTTCTGATACCAACTGGGGCAACCTTGGGCTGTACCCTTCATTCTAAGAAGATGCTCCTCCCTTTGGCTGCAAGTACTCCTGTAGCTAATTCTCAGTTTCTTCTATGGGTAAGAGAAAGACTCAGAATAGCAGCAGTGTAAAAGCTTTTGCCAGCTCTTCAGCAAAGACCAGCTTTTAAGGATTTATAAGGATTAAGCAGACAAGCTCCAGATAAACTTAATGAACATACATGAAAATGAATTGTTTGATATACTTAATGTTGGTATGGAAATCTCATGGGGGTTAAAAATGGGGGAAGGACGCTACCTTGCAGCCACCCTAACAAAAAAGAAGCACTTGGGTTTCACCTTGACAGCCCAGCCTCAGCTTCCCCATTTACCCACATACTCAGAACAGAGCCTGCATTTAGCTCCATGCTCAAAGGACTTCATCTAGAGAGATTTCCTGCAGATATGGCAAAAACCATAACAACTATTTCAAAAACGGCTATTTTGGCACTAGGTCTAAAAAGGTCAGTATAACTATACCTTGCATATCAATAAACTACTCGAGGGTATTTCAGCTAAATATGAAAACTGAAAGCCTAATCTATAACCCAAAATGGTAGAGAAAAAGCACACTTTGATAGCCCAAATGGATAGATGTGCACACACATGGACACACTGAAAGAGAACCAATTTTGTTCATCGTACATCTCTGGCCCTGACATTCATTAGTATTTCTGCACTAACTCAAAAGCCATTAATTTCTCTGAAACCCACACTAATCCCTTTGTAGTGCAGATAATGGACAGCCATTCTAGAGTCATCTTCCCTTTCTATTAATCCAATCAGGGAGGCAGCGCTTCTGCAGCTCCAACTGCAATCTCTCGCTTCCATCAAGTACAGATGACTGTTCAAGCTTCTCCCATAATAAGACAACTCATAACCTTCCCCCAGCCACCCCTCCTTCATCCACACACAGGTTTGCTTATCTTTTGTTGAGTTAGAGAAAGGCTATCTCTCCCTGTCTTTCACAGAGGCACCCCCCTCTCCCTCCTTCACCCCACTCCTTCCCTTCAAGCTCTGTGAAATCGGCTCCAATGGCTCTGCTCAAACTGGGACAGAACCAGCAGCCACCTTGATTAACATTCAAATGCCTCGTATTGTTGAGGTCAGGGCAATAGATGCTGGCAGAGACAGGTTGAATTCATATGCTGAACATACACACACATCTCACAGCTCTGCTCCTTTATCTCTTCCACATGCACTGTGCCAGATAATACCTTTTTACTCGGAGAGCAAATGGTACCATCTCTCTATCCACCTTCCAAACAGAAACTGCATCTCTTTTCCTCCTTATGGAGACAGGCAGAGTAAATTGAAGAGTAAAAAAAAGGAAATAATCACAGTAAATGGCTCACATCTAAGCCATTTGGAGTTATAATTTCAAGGAAAGAGGTGGAAGAAGGCAGAGAAAAACAAAGAGAGTCTCAGCAGCTGGGACAGAGTAATATCTTCCTCAGCATCTCTCCTCTCCATTGGGAAATGCCCCCTTGTCCCAGATCGGAACCGTGCACATTGCACTGAAACCAGGCCAGCCTAGTGCCCACCTACCACTGGCCACACTTGGGGCAGCTGGTGCAACCAGCACCCCGGATAGAGAGACCAAATGTTGTATCAGCATGTCCAGAAGATGCACACTCCAGAACAACTAACTGTACTTGCATCTCAGTTGGCATGGCAGGAAAGCTTACTCCGTTTTTCCACCACTGAAGCATTTCTGACAACAGTCATTCCAAGCAACGTGGAAAAGAGCAGGAGCAGAGATGCCCAGTCGTGAGGAGTTTGAGGGGGCACTCTTGAGGGGGCACTCCTCTCTCAATTCTCTAATGCTTAGTAAGTGATCAGTGTAAGTTTCAGAGTTTTTGCCAGTAGTTTTCCTCTCGGATTTTTAAAAACTGAACATTTTTACAAAACATGGTTGGGACCTAAAATGCTCTTAAATTGGGTTGGGCTAGTCACCTTCTTGGTGGGATTTGCTAGATCAGGGACAAACTGTGCCTCAGATCCACAATGTTCACTATCTTCCTACTTAAAAATAGAGTCTTTTCCTCCCACCTGTTTTCCCACCTGGGTCTGCAGATATATATTCTTCAGTTTGTCAGTGTGCAGGTGCTCAACACAGTGACAGCTCTAGAGTTCTCCAAGCTCACAGGCACAGCAGGCAAACAAAACAGCTACCTGGAAAAAGTACTGTAGCACCCACACTGTCAGGAGTGGCAGTGTTTGAATAACACCCACATGGCCATCAAGCCATGCTGTGGTTGAAACACTGTGTTTTAAAAATCCAAGCCTTGCTTCACTGTATATTACAGAAGCAGTATTCTCTCTTTGTCTGCCAGGCCACACGCCCAGAAATACAAGAGCCTGCCTTGAATTTACTCACAACTTCTGTCTTTGCAAGCTCTCCTTCCTGCTTGTACCCCATAGGTTTATTTCTAGCACTTGAGTTCTTTCACCAGCAGGCCAAAGATATTGCCCCAAAAGGCACAGCTTCTTTTCAGGTCCTTTTCTTTCTCTTCTCAGCACATGGAAAGGATTCAGTGTCATTTCATTTATATTATGGTTTAGTGGTAGAATCAGCAGTGCTGGGTTAACAGCTAGAGGAGATAATCTTAAAGGTTTTTCCTAACCTAAATGATTCTATGATTCTATAAAAGAGCAAGAAGTAGGAAGAGAGAAGCCCACAGTAATGGGTACACTATGACAGTAAGGAAAAAAGAAACAGTGAAGAGTTCACATATGCAGTAACTGGGACAGCTTTGGAGGACTGGGAGACCTCTGCAGGCTCCAGAGGGAAGTCCTTTACAGCAGTGAGGACTGACAGGAGTTGCTGAAGGTCCTCTCAGTATCTCACAGCATTCATTTAATTTGGATTAAAACTCTGAAAAGGGATGTCTTCTAAGGATGCAACCACTATGACCCCTTCAACAACTGCAGCAGGTTTTATCCAATCTCTAAATATATTCTTCAGTCTTTTCTGGAGAATAATTAGCAGCCACAGACACATGTCTGTAAAACCTACTTTCTTGCTTTTGCACTTCTCTTTTCAGGTCAGCTCACAGTAGCAGCAACTCTAGGTGAGGCTCTCTTGTAAACACAGAGGGAAGAAATAGCACAGCTACCTTGTAAAACCTGCACAGCTGCTGAACAGAACAGGTAAAGGAAACAGGTTAAAAAAGGATATTTTCAGAGCACAGAAGCTCTCCTTCCTCAAAAAAGGTACCCCTGGCCTTCCAACATTCCATAGAGAAAGCTCTGGGAGGGCACACAGCAAGCACTGACTACCTCGAGAAGTGGGTCCATGGGAATTTCATATCACAGAATCACAGATTAAGCTTAAAACACTCTCAGGGACATGTACAGACCTTCAATGGCTCCAATTGAATGGAGTTTCTGTGAGCATATGAAGTTGTTACACATCAGACCCAGGAGATGCCCAGGATACAGCTGACAAAAATGAAGAGCTCTGTCTCCAGACTTGAGAGTGCATTTCTATTCTGCATCCTTTCCACAGAAAGATACAGAACAGAAACTCCACTCTACAAGAAGCAATGTATCTCCCTAGACAAAAGTAACAGCAGGTGCACTTGCCTTTGTCAACCAAGAACACCCTTCTTTGGGCTACAGCAAATATGTCACACTATAACACAATAACCTACATGTTTTTACCTATATATACACTTTATATATACACTTAAACATACTTACATGTCATATATACTTATACACACACTTCTCCCCACACACAAACATTTAGGCACCTGCTTTCCATGTTCCAGTATAGCTGACTTACCTGGAAAACCCAACACAAAAAGTTTGTTTTAACCCTAAACAGGCCGCCACCTACTCCTAACTGGAGTCAAGCCACCATGTGCATACAAGCACCCTTTGACAATCTCTTGATTTTTAGTTAAGCCCTACCTTTAATTAGATTACAAAAATCTTTGTGGCACTAGCTGCTGTTCCTTTCTGTAAGTGCCTGGCCCATTGCTGGCATCTACAAAATAAATCATGAAGATGGAGACACTGGGTCAGTGTTTCCAAAGCCGTGAGCACCTCTTCAGTGCAGTGCAGCTTGGGAAAAGGAAGAATACCACTTGCTGAAACACCGCTTCATATGGCTCACTGGAGATGCCTGCCTCAATCTGATAACAACGCCTCCTGTGCCCCACACAATGCTGGCAGGAACGCCTTAATATTGACAAATTGAGTGCTTTAGCTTCTGTTACTTGCTTATGGACTGAAAATTCAGCATTATTTAAAGAAAGAGAGCACAGATCTTGGGCCTTACAGTAAAGCTCTGTACACCCTCTTTTTAATGGCTGCTCTTTCACTTTATGAAAAGTGCTTTTGTTTGGATTTGCCATTCTCCCAATAGCTTTAACATTCAAAGCTTTTTTAAGTTTGGGAAATCATTCAAGGAAATGATCAGAAATACATAGCAAATAAATAATTTTGTCCTGAGTCAAACTGAACAGGACAGAAGCAAAAAGTAAAACAACTTTAGACATTTAAACTATAAAAAGAACAGAAATCAAGGTAAGTTTAAAAAATTATCCTTAGGCAAGCACACAGAGTTACATCAAAGACAAAAGAGCCATACTGATTTCTCTTAAGAGTTACCTCACAGCTGAATTTTGAGTAGGTTTTTTGTATTTTTTAACATTCAGCTCCTCTTTCAAGACAAATATTAAAATCAGATAGGAAACTCCTCATACAAACACAAACAAAGCACCAGCACAAACCTGTGTTTCCTTGGATATCCTCTCCATTGGTTAGTGCCAGGTAGGAAAGCAGAGCACAGTTATTGTCCTGACCAGGTGCAGGTGGCTGCTGCAGGGAGGTGCCTGTGAAGACCACTCTCCAGTTCACATGGCTGATATCAGAGCGTGACCTGTTGTGACCTGGTTTGAACATGGAGGCTTCCTCATTCTGCACCAGGATGTCATTCACTGAGCGAGGCCTATCCCTCCGCCGCTGGCAGATCTTGAAGATATTAAAAGCTGTGGTGTCCCCTTCCCCTGCCCAAGCAAGGTTGTCAGCAGCTGTTCCCCTCTGCACCATGCACTGGTCTTTGGCAGGGAACACTGTCTGAGCTTTGGTTTCCAAGAGGCCATTTTTGCAGTGATCCCAGATGAGGCTACTCTTGGCTAAGGAGGCGACGTTCCTCAGTTCCCTGCTCTCTGTTATCTGATCAAATACCTCATGCCCAACCAGTTCCGGGACCTCCTGTACACCATACACCTCAGAGGGCTGCACAATCTTTTCAAGCTTAGTATCAAAACTATTGAAAAAGTCTTCAGTCACTTCCAAGGCAGGGCTAATGTCATCCACTTCAAGAGCCTCCATATCCTGTGCTGCTGTGGGCTCAAGGCGGCGCGATGCGTTAAGAAGATACCACATCAATATGGACCTAAAAACCTGCTTCACATCTATCCTTGGCACACCATTAACTTGGACGTGGTGGGCAAACACAGTCACCAACTCCAACCCATAGTGGTAGGAAGTAACCAACTCAATTTATCTTCAGAGGGAAGATCTAACACCCACTGACCAAGTGGGCTATGGCTGTATGAAAACAGCTCATAGGGATGCAGAGTACCTGTAAAGAAAAGCAAAACATCACATCAGGAAGAGTCTGTTCCCAGGTAAATATGTTTGATCACATCACCCCTTTCGCAGTCATAATCCCCTTCATTTAACTTTCTCCTTCAATTGGCACCAAAATCACTGCGTATGAAGAAACTCTTTGTATTTCTGTTGTTCACTCTGTATGAACTCTGTGCATGATCACTTTTTGAACTGAAAGCTGCAGAGAGCAGGATGGGACACCAGATGATGGGAAACCAAAGCAATACCATTTATTAACCAAGCTTTAGAAAGCTGCATTGAGAGGTAGCCACCTAAGGAATGCTTCATAGAGTTTCTCTTAGGCCTTGCCCTTTCCCTCCCTTTCTTTTTTCTAAGAAAAAGTTGATAAACTACAAGGTCATAACATAGGCCAACCAGCCCCAAATAGTTTGCCTTTTTGTCCAAGATTGCTTGAACTCACAATTTTATGGAGACCAACATGAGTTTTACAGCAGCTACCTTGCCTACCCATCTGCATGAACAGAACTGTGACATTTGCCAAATAAAGCAAGTCTGCTGCTGTCTTGCAGCTCCATCCACAGTGCTGCAATGCTGAAGGGAAAAGCACAGTAGGTATGTTTAAATTGGGGTAACCTGGCAAATGTCTGTGAGTTCTTGGGACCTGGAGACTGGGCATTTGTGCTGGCAGGAGAACAGCCCTCAAGTCTCCTAAGACAAATCACAGTACCCAGAGCCTGTACATGCAGAACAGCTGAAAGTCAGAGTTTTGAACACATCAGCTCAAGTCCCAGAAGCAGCAAAGCTGCATTAGCTCAGAGCTCTACCTAGATTATTACACTCTTAACAAAACTAATTAGCTGGGCTGGGCCGATAATTAGCAGCTCATTAGCTTGTAAATGCTGCTGAAGTGCTACCAGGACCCATGAAGATTTATGCTTAGCAGGAAAAAACATCCACTAAACAGCATCAAAACCAGATAATACTTCTATTTAAGGTGGGGTTTTTTTTAAATCCAGAACAGTCTTTTAGCCTAACTTCTGTTAGGAAAGCTGCTTAAATTGGCACCCTTTACTATAGCAAGCCGGAGGGAGGATGGTAGCCAATCCCAAAAGGAGGGAGCACAATTCTGTAGCATAAACCAGTCTCCTCCACAATCCCCCAGTGGCTTCCTCCCACCCCTGCTTCAGTTGTAGCCAGCCATGACACAGCTGTGCTCAAAAGCAGCTGCTCACTCTCCCTCCCAGTGAATCTGCAGTTCAGACTATGATGTCCACAAAGACACTCCAACTAAGTAATTTTCAAAGGCAATAACTAATCACATACACAACTCTAGAACATCAAGACTTTACACTGAGATCTTTCTCCCCTTAACTCTTTGCAAGGATTCACTTTGCTCGTCTCATAATGAATCAGGGTAGGAACAGCTTCGATTATGTGAACACAGAGTAAGACACTGAAGATAGAGACAAAACTACAACCAGAGGGCTGAACAAAACAGACCTGGAGTTATTTCAAATCAGAACAGTCTGGGAGCAGACTCTTTGCAAAGCTGTGTAACTGTGCCAGTTGACAGCAGTAAGAAATTAAGTCATCCTGGGCACATCTGCATTGTCAGCTTAATGCAGCACTGAGTTTACTCTTGAAGCTCAGTCCTGCCAGCAGTCCCAGAACAGTGTTCTGCTTCCTGGTACCACAGAGCTTGGGAGCTCAAGGAACAGCCTAAGGGACATAGGTGGTGCAACCTGTCTACTTATTCTACACCTTTCTGTAGCATATTTTTACAGCAACAATGGTATTTTGAAGTTGCAAACTGCAAGAAGCATTCACTTGAACAAAACTAGCACCAACATAACCGCAGGCCTGCAGTGAAGGCTACAGCCTGGTCCATTCAAAGATGCTGCCTCATGGGGGATTGGCAGAAGATGCAGCCTTGCACTCCCTCACGCAACTGGAGCGGCAATCACTCCACAAGGGCTTGTGACATGCCACTGCAGCATTCCAGTGACAGCAGAACAACGTTGGTTTGTTCTTTAAGTCCCTAGGAAAGGTGGAAAGCAAGGGTTAAAAATTGACACTTACGTTTAACAAGTTCATTTTTAAATGCTGGAGGCTTCAAGCAGCTGAACGTTTCTCTGGATCCTGGGAGACTGGAGCTGCCAGCCAGCCAAGTGTGGTGATGCCAAGCTACAAACTGACCTCACAGCCAGGAGGATGCTGAATCACATGGTCATGAGAAGATGACAGACCCCTCTATCACATAGTCCATAAACTGCAGCATTCATACCTTCCCAACTAGTCTGTTTGCCCTGCTCAATAAAGATGTGAAAGGTGACATCAGTGGTGGCAGGCTCATCCCCCCCTACACCACCAAAAGAGTTGTGCCAGTAATTCCCACTAGCACTGGGATCCTGCAATTACATATCCTCCATAAATGCAAAAAATTGGCACTTTCTGACAGCAGCACTCAACAAAAATTTAATTGAGATGCCTGCATGGATTTGGTGCCAAATGAAAGGAAACTCTGACACGGCAGTAAACAGCTTCATCACAATCTCCTCCAGGAGGGAAGCAGTGAAAATCACTTCCTTCATGGGAAGGGTAAAAAAAGGCAAACAATAGGATAAGTTAAGCTCCTTTTAAGTTACTATAAAATGTATGGCTTTATGTATTGTTTCTTGAAGCACCTTAAATTTTCCAAAGACATTCAGTCTCAGACAGTGAATATGAGAGAAAGAACGAAGCATCAGCCCCAACTATTATAGATTGATGAAGCTATGGACAACCATAAGCTTGGATTTGTGCTTATCCAGGCCCCTGGGAACTGGTCTTAGTGAAAAAAGGATTAAGGAACATGCTGCATTGTACTCAGCAAAAACTGCTGGACACAGGGATTGCAGCAGCTGAAAAACAATTTTCTGTATATCTGCCCAGCATGAACATGCAGCAGTCACATAATTAATGTGCACTTACAACACGAGAAGTCTTTACTATCACAAGTTTATAGTGGCCCCATCACTCACATGGCTGAGGTAAACAGCAAGGATTACTGGTCATAGCACATGAGACACTGAAGTGCAATTTACTAAAGATTACCTCCCTTGGAGAAGCCACATGGGCTTAACTTGAGTGACAGCACAGTCTGACACAGAGAAAAGTCATGAATGACAAATGCCAAGGAACATACACTGGAAGAGACCATTTCACTTCCTGATACATTTTCTGGATCCTCGTGGGTTATGGAAAATACCCAAGCATTGCATGGCAAAATTTAAAAAGCACAGAAAATGCTGTGAAGCAGTGGGGAAAAGCAGAAAGGAACAATAGGAGACTTCACACAACTTGATAAGCAATCTTGTTGGTTTTTGGTGCTCAGAGAACTTCCTACCTCTCTTCCAGATAATAGAGATGCTTAACACAACAAGTGATACACAACAGATAAATAGACTTCCCCTTTCCTCTGGTATTTGGAGAGAGAATCAGAAAGGAACTATCAATGATGTTCATAAGGAAATGCATAAACTACAGGAGCTCTCAGTAAAAGGTAGCCAAAGACAGGTAATATTAAAAGTCCCTCAAGTCTCATTGATTCTTAATGACTCTTGAGCTCAGATTCCTAGCAAAGATCAGGGTTTCTGAGAATTTTATCTCAAGAGCACAAGAGGAGTTCTACAAGCTACCAGTATGCAAAGAGAGCAGGAGTGCCTCAGGCACTGGGGAGCTTGCCCTATCCCCTTCCCAACACACTGGAACCTTCTGTAGGAACCAGCTCTGCTTTTCTCACACTGCATTACAACTGTGGGCTGAAACTCCAAGGCCAAGAAGGAAAACAGAGATTCTTTCAGCTGAGTAACAATTGGATAGCAGAGCAAATTCAAGCAGCCTAAGGAGTTTTATTTCTGTTATGCTGTAGGCCTGGACCACTACAGTCCAGTTCATGGGCTATGTGTTTTTCAGACAAATCTGGTCTGAACACATCTGAAGAAGAGGCTGATGCAGTGCCTCTGAATGCAATCCACTGGGGCTGGCACAGCTAAGTACCTACTGAGCTTTTCTACCTGTCAGTCTGAGCAACCTCACACTGTGACCTCAATGTCTTCCAGTGGTACTACAAACAATCACAACCTACAAGTTTTGCTACTTCAAGGATTTCTGACCTGCTCTGTAGCTCACATCAGACAAGTATTGCCCTGAATCTAAACAGGGCACACTTAGGTCAATGATAGTCCTTGAAAACCAGGCTCTGCTGTGCAGAATCCCTGAAAGAAGCTATGAAGCTGATGACTTAGGAGCTACCTAATAGTTAAGAAGCTGAGCTGTATTTGTCAGGTGGGCAGACCTGAGTGGACAGAATAGAGAACAAGGATGCACAGGTGACTGTCACACACACAGCTTTTAGCATTGCCTACGCAGTTCTGCCCATCACTGGCACAAAGTGCTTGCAAAGGAGCTGAAGAGTCCTGCAAGAGTCCTGGTTCAAGACACTGCCCTCCGAGTGGTTATGAGCCCCAGGCAGTGCAGTGGCCAGCTCTCTGAGCAGCAATTGAAGGCTGCACTCCTGCTTGTCTGTCACACCCATCCTGGAGAGGCAACTGATAAGGAAGAATTTCACAAGGGACAACTATAGAGAGTGAGCATCAGCTGGGACACTGTCCCTGTGCAAACTATCACATTCCCTTGATCCTATCTGTATTTTGTTCCCGTGGCACAAGGCAAGCCTTTCCCAAGTGATTCCTAAACCCCAGATGACGTACTGCCATGTACATCAAGTGAGACAGAGCAAGTGAGACAAGCTTGTTAGATTCAACATTTCAATGACTGGAGGAAATTTACAGTGCTTCACAAAGAACAGAAAACAAGAAACTTTTCATATACAGGGAACCACAATTTCAAAAGTTGCCATATAACAGTCAATGGTTGGTTCAACATCACCTGGGCAATTGTCTTTAGATCACATTTTTAAAGCCTCTCTCTAGAGGCCTCTTTCCCCAACAGACAAACT